CAAAAACCGCTGACACAAAAGTCGCTCCGAACACGCCCTTAGAGGCCCTCAGTTGGAGATCTTCCTGACGTCCAATTTGCTATTGTAATAGTGTTTTTTAATCACGAGGAAAAATGCAGATTGTGTGACTTGAAATTGTATTGAATTTCGCATTAGTTTGGAAGTAAAATGGCCTTGAATACTTCGAAGTATTCAAAATCTCGATAGGCTGAAAACAAATCCGTGCCATTTTATCCGGATGCAAAAATGCAGCCTCGAGTATCAGAATTCCAAAGACGCGTTCTATTGGCTATAATAGATCAAATATCGAACTAATTGACCTATCAAAGCCGTGGCACGGAACTGTGTTGGCACGAAACTGTGCCCATACGTATAGTATTATTATAATTCAACGCGAACCGTAAAAATACTTCATCATGCATCCGTAAAATCACGGCGAGTGCCGAAATTTTAGGATGAATTTTTATTAAAGCATGGTTTTAGACCTGGATTAGCCGAAAAAGGTGAAAAGCACAATAATAGTACTATTAATATTATTATTAATATACGTAGTTCTACTACAGTACTACTTCGAAGTAGTATTCTAGTATTTCTTACTACGAACCTGAAGTAGTATACAATAAACTATTAACAGGCAGGGGGAGGATGTACATATTTTGGTCATACTATGATTTTCAAACTTCGTCCACAGAGCTCAGTAAGCCACAGAGATTTCGGAATGTGTCCTTGCCTATTCAGCCATCTTCACGTGCCATTTGCACGCTTTCGGAGGCCGGAACAACCGCGAAAACTTGCATGGCGCATGGGCCCTCGATGGATTCAACGGCCTTCCCTGCGCGTGTCATTGGACACATTTTGGTTCTTTCTTCCAATGGAACGCCAGTAAAAATGTCAGTAACGTTTTTGCATACTTGTAGAACTCAAAATGGATTAGTCAGATATTCTTAAATAATCAATTATCATATATATTGTTAATAACCACTTTGGCCTTTTCCGGTCGAAAGGCTGTTCCCATAGTAGCTCAAATCTGATTTTCATCAGAGTACGCATTAAAATGCGTACTTTCGTATTGATAAAACTACTGTACTCGGACATCACATCTGCACTTTGTTCCGATTACTCTCCAATCCAGGAAGTAAATCCCCATTGTCCCAAGCTCGTTGGGATAGAACAACGAGGTTAAATCATTGAGAAGCAGCTTCAACCAAGTTGAATGATATGCTCCCACAAGATAGGGCGATGCTTCACTTGCCGCCATTGTCCCGTTGTTGACTGCGAGGACGCATGCAAATGCGCTTTAAATCATTTGGTCTTGGACATTCACAGAGAGCTTCGTCAACAACCAAAGCAAACCACACGTTTTGGAGGTATTTCTACGTGTCTTAATCTGAATGCCTTTCAGTTCATTCGCGTCAACCCAAAGGTCAATCTACGATGCTCGTCAACACATGTGGTACTTCCCAGTGGTTTGGGACATTCTAAAGAACGTACAACAAATGTTACAGTGGTAGAGTCGCTGATGTGGCTGCCCTCATGTAATTGGATGAAACAAAAGTAGTTTTTTTTATTTGTCCAACAAACGTTCTAACGTTAGTACAATCGCATGATGGCGAAGCATTGGCTCACACGGAAGAATCTCCAACTCGCACAGATCTTCGTACTTCTACTTGAAAGTATTTACGCGTGTTCATGAAGGTGTATTCTGTGAATCCCGAGAAGGCGGTGGCATCTGCTAGACGGTGAGAATAGTTCGATTTCGATACCTCCATTTTCCTACCGTGAAAAGTGATTATAGTTCCCATGGCCTTTCTGTTAATACTTCGAAGTACTAGTATTGGATATAACGAGAAACAGTTTCTCGTTAGAGTACCGGTAGTAGTTTAAAAAAAAGCTACTACTACTTTAATACTACATAGTGGTACTTCGTAGTAAGTATTAATACTAGTACCAACGTTAGTATTTCATGCAAACACCAACTAATCACTTGTTGTGTTGAAGCAGCCACAGCCCCCATTGTACGGCAAAGTCGGCGTACGCTTTGACCGAGTCGAGGGGATGGCAATCGTCCGGATACCACTGCACACGGACAGTACGGCCATGATGCTGGAGGCTGTGGAAGAACTGGAGGCCTTGGGTGGGTGGGACGCGGCGGTCCTTGGCGCCGAGGCCGAGAAGCACCGGCGCTTGGATCGCCGCCAGGTCGTTGGCCATGGGACTGAGTTCCCAGAACCGCGCCACGGTCGCCGTGCGATCCGTCGAGGAAGTCACGACGGCGCTGTTGGTCGCGATGGACTCGAACGCCGCGACGCCCGTGACGGCACACCCCCAGTCAGGGATGTCACTCGTGAAGAACAGGCTCGCAATGTTGGTCACGGGGTTGCGCAGCACCGCCGACTTGTAGAACCACGGGAACTGCCCGATCAAGTGCGCGCCAAGGAAGCCTCCATGACTGCCTCCAGACACATGCACTCGGGAAGCATCCAGTCGTCCGGCGTACTTGGCCAACACGTGCGACACTGCGTGGTGGCAGTCGGTCACGTCCTGGGACCCCACTCGGCCCACCAACGACTCCAACGCGTGTCGGCCGTAGCCGATACTTCCCCGGTAATTCACCTACAACCGGATAGTCCAGAAACTCATCCGGATATGGCATATAAAACGTCTCTTACCGTTACAACTGCAAACCCCAACGCGCACAGGTACGCGTACGAGGCGCGGAACGTCGCGGGTGAGTGACTGTGCGGGCCGCCATGGAGGTCCAGCACGACGGGAAAGCCGTTGGTGGAAGAAGTAGACGTCGTTGTCCCAAAACCTACAACTGATGTGGCGGTGGATGGCCACAGCACCAGCGCGTCGTAAGGTGCGTCACTGGACACGGTCGGCAAGAGTGGGGTCGCAGACTGCGCTAACGGCGACAAGCTGCGGCTTGACGTGGCAGCAACCGGCGCAATGGATTCGATGCTCCAAGCGTCAACGTGTGGAGACGCGTCTTGGATGTCGACGGGGGTGCGCGATACGACTTGCACCCCGCGTTGGAGCTGCACCCATTGAATCCCCACTGGCGTCTGCGGCGTGCTCACCGCCACGAGCGCATGCGTTTCAAACACGTCCACTAACGTTTCTGACCCGGTGTTTTCTTCCCCCAACGCGTACACCGGGGTATGGACAGCTCCCGTGTCCACTTGAATGGCTTTCCACACCACTCGAGTGCCGACTTCCGTGTTGACGTATATGAACTTGGAGTCATGGGACCAACAGCGACGGAAGAGCGCTAGCATGTACAGGCCGCGGAACGCGCTGTCGGAGGGCGTGTCCACGATGGGCACGACCACCCGCTCTTCCTTGGTGGTCCAGTCCAAGATGCACAGCATGTTGCATGTGTTGTGGGTCACCACGTCCGCCGTGCCAAGGAACGCCACCTTGGTGCCATCAGGGGACACACGGGCGGACCGGGTGTTGGCGGCTACGTGGAGTGGCAACCTCGTCGCCGTGCTGGATGGTGTTAACTCGAGCGAATACAGCGCCTTTGGTCGGTTGAAGCAGTAGATGAGCCCGAGTCGACGACCTGCCTGTGTGTCGATAGCAGTAAACACAATCGTGTTGGCTCGAGGCACCACGGCCACTTCGCTGCACGCGAGCGACGATGGAATGCCCGCCACTTCGGCGCACTTGCCGCTGCGGATGTCCATAGTGAAGATGCGCGACGTGCGCTTACCCACGTATTGCTCGCCCCAGTCCTCCTTGTGGTCGTATTGATGTCCGATCGACGACGACGCGTCTTTGGACGGATCGGCGGCGGCATTCGCAGAGCTCCAGAAAGACTTGGCGTCCGCCTCCTTTTGCTCGGCCAGGTAAAACACGACCGATTCGTCTTCCGACCAGCATACCCCGCCTTCTGACACGCCCAAGTACAGCGCACCATGAAGCTCCTTGGGTGTGCGGTGGACGTGGACGAGGCGGTGGTGAGAGTAGAATGCGAATTGAGCAAGGGTGGTTTTGTCGTCGACAACGTCGGTGATGACCACGGACCGCTTGTTCGACGGGGAGTAACTCACGTACTGCGACGGGATGCTCGTGGGCAGCCCTGACACGACTGTGTTGTTGGCAAGAACGTGCTGCGTCGACGACACGAGGGTGGTGCTGTTCACGAGGTCGCGATCTTTCCACACAAGAGTGGCATGGAGAACAGTCTTGTTCTCCTTGTCCAACGAAGGCACGAGGTGACCACCGGCAAATGTCCGCTGGCTCGCTTCAATGGACTGCAGTAGGGACGCCGCAAAGTCAGCGGAAGTGGTTGTCATGATTTATGACTTGAGAGGACAAGAAAAGTGACGTGGAAAACCGGTTGTGAGCTGTAATCTTTTCCGGATACTGTGCATGTGAAGCCATACGCATTATATTATCCGGATTCTCATGTGTTTTTCCGGATCTTGTATGACGGGAAACAACATGGCACTGTTGTTGGCCCATGACAGTGTGTTGCTCCCAAAATACAATGAGAGATGAGGGGGTGGAGATATAAAATCAACCTCCGCCTATGGATGATGTGCAAGGACAGTGTGACGTGGCAATGCGCCGTTCAAGTCAGTGTATGGGGGGCTGGCTACGGTTAGCTTGTGATAGCGTCGTGAGACCTGCTGGGGGGGGTTGTTTCTTGTGTACTACAGTAGTGCCCACCACATCGGCGCAAATCACATCATCATTCCGGGGTAATAAGGGGGTGTATTTCTGTACGCGGGGGCGTATCATCCTACTATGACACAAGAAATCAAGTCGTCATGAATAGCCGCCACTCATGGATGTCGTCCTCTATATAAAGCCGACCTTCATTGCGGGTGGAACGGCTTGGTCTCTGTCGCGATGAGTTACCCCGTATGCAGATGTTGGAAGTGTTGCTATGCTCTGAGTCAGCGTGGACACACATTGAATGACTGACCACTTTACTGTACGTGAGGTTGGTGTTTTGGTCGTTGGATCACTCTTGGCACCATTACGCTACAAAATGGTCAATTTACTGGTTACAGTACCGTACGTACTAAAGTTCGTGAATCTTCGGCAAGGTTTTATCCATGTGTTTCACTGTACCGGCGAAAACGGCACTAAACCGCTGGACAACCCGATCAGACAATGACAGGGGGGGACGAAGCGCCTTGGCCTGTAATCCAGTGTCCACAGGACAGATGTCTCGTCCTCTATATCGACCACATTGGGGCATTTTGGTACATAACCGTCGTTGCGCCTTGAACCCCACATAGACAAACAAGTGGATGAGGATCAACCTTTGAGTTGTCTCCGCTTTGCAACGTGAAGCCCCGTGTGTTGTTTGCTGGATGATTTTGATTGATATGATCACATGGCATGATTCCGGTTGTCGTCGTGACCGCCTTGGATTTGCGCCGTTGTGACCAGCCGTGGACATCACCCGTGACCAATCATCGTCGCAGTCCATGGATTACACATGTGTTGGAAGTAGAGAAGGCGGATGGTCTGCGGGCACTCGGCTCGCTGATCAAGGAATGTCACCCCCTCACCCCCCATTTCATTTGGACAGGGACCAACCATGCTATTTACTGTACAGTACTGGTATGCACCCCACTACCCAACACTACCAGCACGACAGGGTGAGATTTCATTTCTGGCGAGTAGAAACTGCGTCCAAAAGAAGCCCCATCGTTCGCACTCTCGTGGACACAAGGGTACCACATGTCGACCAGCACAGTAATCATCTCCAGCATCAACCTTGCAGGAAGGGGCCAATGGTCAACGCGTTGATTGGCAAGTATATCTACCAATGGTATTGCTCCATTGCGCGAGCGAACAGCCCTCACATGCAGTGGGACGGCACCTAACCATGTACTTGTACCACGCTTGGAAATACCCTGGCCGCATGCAACTCCAGCCTGTTGAGACCTTCCCCATTTCGCTACGTTGGGTAGGGCGATATGCATGCCCTTCACGGCGACGCCACCACAAGCAAGCCATCATCGGTCGAGTTTTCCAAGTACTGTCGGTGCCAGTCCATCTTTGAGCCCAAATACCTACGGTAACCCCCCTCGCGATTATGGTATGTTGATGGTGTGACGATCCCATGATGTGATGCAGGACCCATCGCGCCGGCGGCACCAAGGTCCTTCGGTATAGAAAACTACATCTCTCAAACCATGCAAACTGACCCTTTGTCCTATATATATGGTTCCACGATGTACTTAGGTGTTTTCCGCATTGCTGCCCCGCGCACGTGTTCAGCAGCGTGTGTGGCTCGTCTGTGGTGACAAGAGTGACCGGTGACAGGGCAGAGCACTCGATCACGTACCTCCGCTTCGAGGCAACGTACGACAATGCGTTGCAAGTGGGCGATGTGATTCGAGAAGACGCGGTGCTGGCCAACCTTCGGCGGCAAACGCATTGTGTGGGCGAATGGATTGCCAGTCACTACGACGTGTTGGATGAAGTACGTTGTTCTTCTCGCCAAAAAAATACTCTACCAAAGCCCTATCTATGTCGGCCGAGTCCAGTGTTTCAGATTGGACACCAGTTTTCATGTTCATGTGCACAGAACACATGTTCCCGAGTGAGCGAATTCAGTCCCAAGGCCCAGTCGACATTGGGGTGGCATTACCGGTGGATTGGAGGGTCAGCAAGGCAACAACGGCAAGCTATGCACACCCTTCGGGTATATATATATCATATAGATGAACCAGTCCCGAGGCCACGGATTATTCTGAAGCAGCTTTCTTGTCGATGCCCTTGTTGTAGGCGTACGTGTTTGAACGAATCGTTGCACCGACGACCACCCGAACAGCGCACTACACCAATCCCCCCGGCCATGACCCCCCCCTTCCCACCCCCCTCTTGAGAGTTCTCTCCACAGCCTCATCTCCTCCATTTGTTGTCATGTCATATCGACGTGCATGCAAAACCTGCCAGCGCCAAAGCCCCGAAGACATTGGCCAATGTCAATGCGAAGGCATATACCGCATCCCCCCCCACAACCCTCCATCTTCGCCGCTGCTCACCCCCCCGTCCACCAACCGCCTCGAGTGGGCTCCACCACCACCCGTGCTGCCACATCATCACCAGTACGACGCTCATCGCCTCGGATCCGTGGAGAGGGAGGATCTTAGTGCTATGGACGCCGGCGTCATCCCCCTTGTACAAGTGGGCGACCGAGACATGGAGACAGCTTTGGCCACCGTGTACTACTTTGTGTCGTCATTTCCGCTTCTCCCTGCACAAATCCCCCCACTGGAAAGGCTCTGGAACCTTCCACCCAACGCGGCAAGTCCTTTCCAGGCCATGCACTGGTGGCTCCTTAACCACCCCCCAACCACCACGGTCATCCCCCGACACTACGACCACATCCTAGCTGCCGTCAACGCTGTCGTGGCCCACGCCTGCGTCCATCAACTCCCCCAAGCAAGAGCCTACTTGCGCCTCCACGCAACGTCGCTTCTCCACAAAGCTGACCTCGAGCACACGTACCGCGAGCTTGTGCACCGCATATACGCGGCCTTGGACACCGTCGTCGCCCCGCTAGGCATGACGTTATTTAGCCTCGGTCATGTCATTGTCGAGATCTGCGACGAGGTTCCCCTCTCAACGACATCGCCTGTTGCTGTCGCTGCCGCCATGTCTTCGTGTTTGACCCAAGTCCGTCGCCACATGTCGTCGCCTCGAGCGTTTGAATGGTTTGTCGCCCAAATGCGTGAAATGTACATGGTACGTACGCATAAATATATACTGTATGTCGTAAGAACTTACTATAAATTCGTGTTTGGGTGTCTACATGGTGTAATGGATGGTTGGTTGCATACTGTATGTGATAACTCCATGTGTGTGAATGCAAGGCGATGGAGGTGCCATCATTGATGGAGGTCGTCCGACCCCGCGCGTCGTCGGCGTTACTGGACGGGACGTGGGGCTTTGACCGCATTGTCCCAAGTACGCACGAAATGCCACCGCCGCCGTCCTGGCTCTGTCCGTCCATGCTGACCGTCCTCCGCGCCACTACTATGGGCTTGATGGGGTTCCATCTCACGACGGAGGCTTCCACGTCCTCCTGCAGTGTCACTGTAGGTCATTTTTTGATGGTCACTACTACTACTACTACAACTACACCCGCGTACATACTCATATCCGGAGCGTGTTGCGGTACTGTAGATCCAGGAGGCCATGTTGTCGGACGACCAAGTGCCGTCGTCGGAATTCATCTTGGACCAAACGCATCGAGTCGTAAGGGTGTTCCCCAACGGAGAAACCACCATGGGCGTTGTGTCCCATCTCCTTGCTGGCGATTACATTGGAGCATACCATCGCGGCGACGGTCGGGAAGGCCCGTCGATGGCAATATCGCTGTTTAGCTGGCCGCTCCACGGAGTGGCTGCCCCCGACGAAGGCCATGCATTCCTTGGGCCTTCAAAGTCCATGTGCTTCCAAGTAAAACTGCACGCATCCTTGGTCGACTTAAACACTCTGCATGTGCATATGCACGTGTTTGCTGCCCCGGAGCGACCGATGTCCAACGGGGCAGCGGTCGATTATTGGGGGATGGATGCCACACAGCGCCAGGCGTGCTACGACACGCCATACGAGGAATTGGTCGTGGAACTTCGGGGCCAGTACCAGCGCCGAACAAATACTGTAGCATGGAGTAACCGATAAACCACACCGATGTGTTCTACTTCCGCGAACTGAATGCAGTAGCCACCCATTGAGATATCGAGATTATTCATTCGCCCTTGAGTTCACAACACAACCCTGACCCCCCCCCGTGGACACGGACGAGTCTGTCCCTAAGAGAAAGAAAAAGTCCTTTTGAAATGAACACTTGATATACCGGTACAGTAACGTAGATGGCCAATTTGTGGTGCACTTGAAAGTAACCTCGTTCGTGGAATGTAGTTTTCTCGTCGCCCACGGCCGGGATTTCAATTCTGAAACTGGTAGCCATTTGATTAGCTAGGCCCTCGCGGAGGAATGTCTTAATAATGATAATCCAAACTCAATTAACCATTTGACGGGGAGGAAAAATAGCTCAGTAGTAGAGCATCGGTTTCTTAAGCTTACAGTTAACTCAAAGGTCGTGGGTTCGATCCTCGGCTTCCCCGGATTATTTCCGCAAGGATTTATCCGTCCCTCCTGGGGAATCCGGATAACAAGGGCTGAAGCGTTGAGTGAAGGTTCCACAACATGTGGTTCTAGTATCGGCCCTCGCCTCAAATTGGCCAATGGAATTGCTTGAATTTAGTATTAGCTAATCAAATGGTTAATTGATTACCGGTAATTGAGTTTAGATTATCATTTGTTTTAAGACATACTACTGTACCTCCGTGCACCTCGGAGTAACGTAGAGTTCCAATTTAAGAGACATGGGTTCAGCCAATGAAATTTGTGTAGAAATACCTCTTTCGTCGATACGTCATTTTACTTGAACTAACAGTAAATATACTCACTGTCTGTCCGATGCAACGACTGATAAATCATTAACCGTACACGAGATAATCGAGGGATCAATCCCATAATCGATCGCTGAAAAATGACTCGGTCATATATTTGTATCCGGATGACTGACCAGTCATGAACGCCCATCCAAGAACACATGGGTGTACTTGGAATATAATTGGCCACTAACTGGAGGCTTGATCATTCGTCATGGAATAATTCCCTCATTAAAACAGTTCCACTGTTGTTTTGACCCGAAATTCGACTTCTGAAAACTGATATTAATAATTCAACAGGAAACACGGTCTTTCCAGCATGCACTGAAACATCTATTTTCACAGTACCTATCATGTCCTAATGGCCCATTTTCTAAGCAGGAACACCTTAAACGTAGGCGACAATTTATGGAACATATTTTAAACTTGATCTTAGTATTGATCCTAGCATATCTTTTTTGAAGGTTAGGGTATAGTATTATATCAGGTACATATGCAATCTCAACAGGTTATGTACTTATAGAGCCAATTGGTTACAGCGTAGTAATTGATTTATATAAAACACATGGGATCAAGATTAATTGAGTTTGGATTATCATTTTTAAGACATTCCTCCGCGAGGGCCGATACTGTAGTAGAACCACAAGAGAACAATTGTTTTTTTGAGAATCCCAAATAAGTGTACCAAGGTACTTCCCACGCTGCATCCAAAGTGCATCCAAAAGTCATAGAGACGAGTGCGAGCCAAACAAAAAAAAACTGGTAACCCACGTAACCCCGATGCTCCCGAATGTGATGGTCATACCTTAAATGTACCTTAGCCGTTGTTTGAACCCCCCCGAGAACGCACTCGACCCTGATGTCCCACATGTATAATTGCATCTGGATGCAGTTGGATGGCTTGGATGCAATAATGTAAGTGGATGAAGTTTATCCCGTTTGTCCCAATATCATCTGTCTTGACAGTGAACTCATTTCAAGAGGTATTTCTACACAAATTTCAAAGTGGGTGATGGGCTGATAGTGAATCGATGTCGCTTATAACTGTAAATTGGAATCTGACGACCCATGAAAGTCCAGATGCACACCTCGCTCGAACCGAAACGTACTTCCTGCGCACGCTTAACCCTGCAGGTTGTGCTTTTTGGAGTCATTACGTTGGCTTTGTCCAGCGCTCTCTTCATCTCATACATTGGGCTGCCCCGCTCTGCGGACCTCGCCTCCACGACGGCCGCTCATGCGTGGGTCAAGGCAAATCCGACCGGCACTCGATTCGCATACATGCTGTACGCCACCACCAAGATCTCCATGTGCAATGCGGTGATCATGGCACACAACATCCGCCGGCTGGGAACGCCGCCGTCCATTGCCATCGTCATATTGGCATCTGTCAAGTTGGACAGCCATCCCACGAGCGAGTGGTCGGCTGCGCTTGACGCTGCAAACGCTGTCCAGGTGCCAGTGGAGCCTTGGACATCGAGTTCCCTTCAAGGCCGTTCCAGCGTGTGGTGGGAGTCCCTCACCAAGCTTCGCATCTTCGAGGAGCGCGGGTACGACAAGGTCGTGTACTTGGACGCAGACATGTGGCTCCATCGCAACTTGGATCACTTGTTTATGCTAAAACGCAACAACGACGTAAACGATGATCCGCACGAGCCCCCGCCTCGTTCTCACCAGGCTACGCTTGACCAGCCTAAAGCCACCAGTACCGACGTCGATTCGTCCATGTTATGGGCCCCACGGGCGTACTACATATCTCCCCAGCCATTCTTTGCCTCGACGTTGATGGTGTTTACTCCATCTAACGCCCGCTTCCGTCAACTCTATGACGCAGTGACCCAGTCCACCCGCCAAGACTACTTTGACATGGACGTATTGAACGATGTTTGGGACCCTGTGACGTTCCTTCCGTCGCATTATGTCGTGCTCAACTCGGAACTCCTGAATAGTCCGTCACTCGTGTTTGAGTTTGCAAACGCGTCGGACCGTATCGCACACACGTACGCGCATCATTTCTCGGCCCTGCCAAACGGAACCTATGGCAAGCCATGGGAAGTTGACCGACCAGTGGGCCACAAGTGGCGCACCAAACGAAAGGCGGCACCGCTGTTTTATCAGCTGTTCGACATGTACTTGGACGCCAACGACAGGTTGTGTCCGTGGCTGCAACCACGCGATGTAGGCAGGCACCCCCCGCAAGATAGCTAGTGTTGCACTTGCTATTTGGGGACAAGGGATGATTCTCTAATTCATATGTATACATACATACATGTACACCATTGTGCTTTCGAGTGAAATTTTGTGTTGTGGCGTGGTTTCTTCGGTTTGGTCGGCGCGATTCGATTGCACCCTCTCCCCAAATTTGTATCAAATCGACAATATCGTCATGCAAACTTTCTACGGCGCTTTCGCGGGGTTCATTCATAACGTTACCGTGGAATGTTGTCCTGCTTATCAATGCAAAATCGATAAGCATGAGGTGCAAACATTTTGCAAAAGCTCAAAACGCCATTTTTTTTATTTTTTAATCTTAAACTAAAAAGTTATTAATAAAAAAAGTTCTAAAAAAATAAAATACAATATTTCTAAAAAATATTTATTAAATATTTAATAAATAACATTAACGTGATCGACCAGTGATGGGCCGATTTTTTTCTTTTTTCTTTCGTGAATTCCTCGTCAAGTATTTATCTTAAGGCGATGTGTTGGACGTAATCTGAAAGAGCACGTCAAGATCTGTCACATACACCTAAACACAATGGATTTAGACAGTTCGTGATGACGTAAAGAATTTCGAAAGTTGCAAAATTTACATTAGTGGAAAAAAGTCGGACAGGATATACAGGAACCAAGTGATCGTCGGACCGTTTGTCCGACTTTCTTGTTCGTTGTAATATTTATTATGTACAAAAGCGATGTCAAAACCAGACGTGAGAAATTAACAGAAGAAAGTCGGACCGAATGTCCTGTATCCATTGATTGGTTAAAAGTGCAATGACCTTGGCAGGTGAACAACATAAAGTTTTGCCTGCAACCCGCCAGCTAGCAACGACAGTACAGTACAGTACCTTAGAGCCTGGTACTATTGGAGGTGTGGAGCATCCGTCAGGGGGATCCTCCCTCTGGCGGATGCTCCACACCACCTGGCTGTGGTAGTAGTGGTTGGTCTTGCTCTGGTGGTCGTAGGACGAGCAGTAGTGATTGCTGTGGTGGTGGGTGTGGCTGTGGTAGTAGTGGTGGGTGTGGCTGTGGTAGTAGTGGTTGGTCTTGCTCTGGTGGGCGTAGGATGAACAGTAGTGATTGCTGTGTGGTGGCTGTGGGTGTGGCTGTGGTAGTAGTGGTTGGTTAGTACTCCACATCACCAGTAGTACCAGGCTCTAAGGTACTGTACTGTATTGTCGTTGCTAGCTGGGTGTACAAGATCAAGTTGCGGGACTTGACCAAGAATCAAGGCAATATGTTGTATGAGTGGAAGTTCGCGGTGCAGGAGCTCCAAAACGTTTATAACAGCACGATTGGCACTGGTTTGGGTCGTCCCTACACCTCGGCCACGGCTATAGCTGCATTGCATTTGGCATATAATGGCCAATTTGCCATCATCCTGGTTTCACTGAACTTGGACGTCAGCTTCGTATGTTCCAAATGAAGATGGTCACATTTGCACGGCTGGCTAGAAAACGTAGACGTAATCCGGGTTTTTATGGCATTCCCGCATATACACCCTACTTAATGGATTCTACGGCACCCATATTTATTGGGCGTTACAGTATTTCTCAAAATTGTGGATGTAGGAGCACAATGAAGTCGGAATTCACAGACTGTGACCCCAAATGATGCAGCAAAAAGTAAACGATAATTAGATCGAATTTAAGCCAATCAGAATTGAGTCGGATGAGATGTCCGACTTTATTCGATCACAACACATTGACGACCAGTGAT